CCCCTTCTCAATTGCCACCCTTTTTCCGGTCTCCCTCTTTTTTCCAAAGGGCCCCCAGATTCCTAAAATCCTTCCCCGTCCCAGGGGCTTTTTTGGTTGATTTAGATTCCCAGTCCCTCCTTAATTGCCTTTTGCCCCCCCTTTTTTTGGTGTTTTGCCCTTTTTGGCCAAGGGGGGAACCTTTCCCTCGGGGTGGAAACAAGTGGAATGGTTCTGCCTGGAATGCCTCCCCCCCCCCCCCCCACCCTCAAGTCCTTCTGGGAATGCCTGCACCCAAGTCTCTCTACCGCTCATCAGTTGCCTCTGACTCTGACTCTTACCCCTCGCCATCTCTCTCGCGACTCGCTGTGCCATGCGTCCGCCCGCCCGTTCTCTATTGCTGCCTGACGCGGCAGTCAGAAAGCTGTAGTAAAAATTGTGATTAAGGGGGTTCACGCAGCCTCGCTCGCCTAGCACTGTTGTTTTATTTGCCGTGGTATGCATGTACAGTATGCATGGGGGGTAATTTGGGAACCAGCCCGCTGCCTGCCCTGGCCGGCTTGCTATACACACATAGTCGCAACGGTGAGCAGAACAGCGTCTTGTGCCACAACTTGGCCGATTCTAGTCTACTACAGAGTAAGTACCCTCACCAGAGAGCCATGTCGGGTGGCACACCCTCTCCTCCTTTGCCGTGCCACATGCTGTGCACGCAGTAACACTCGACTAATTCGGTCGCCCACGGTGTGCTATGTTTATACCCACCTCTCGCTATTCTCAGCATCCTCACCTTGGCTGCCATCATGGCCGTGTACCGTACCTGTCTAGAGTACGTACCATACCTAGTAACCGGCCCTGCTCAGCTCACACCCCTCCAGCTACGGGCCACTGTCCGTCCGCGCCGCGACTGGGAATCCCACTGTCGTTGGGCAGGACTCGCGGCTCACTGCAGCGCGGATGCGAGAGGATGCAGAGGAAACGGCCCACTCTGTCTGGGCTTACCCATCCAGCGCCGCGCCCACCCTTCTGGCACTGGCGCCCACAATCCCACATGGTCCTCGTCGTACACCAACAAATCTGCGGCGAACCTCTTGCCAGCCGAGCAGGATGCACAAACTCGTTTGGGAAACCTGCGCCCTCCCATCTTCGACCTGGCCATGCCCATCAGCCCGTGACGACTTCTCTCCACCTCGTCCTGTAGGATGGCCGTTGTGTAAAGTACAGAGTGCGTACCTGTACATCCCCCATGGCGGTTGAGGCTCCTCTTTGTGTGCCATTCTCTGGCTAGCACCAACGCCACAATGGAGCCATGGTCGCGGCACACGGCTGCAGCCTGCGCTCTCGCTGGAAGGCCTCTCAACCGAAACAGCGGAAGGTCGACCAAAGTCAACGTCGGTCCCGCGTTGCCCTTGCCTGACCATGTCCTGCAAGACGTATCTCCCGTTCCCTGGGGAGGCCCTTGTCAGTCGTTCAGAGCCTCAAGCGCTGCTCAGACCCCTTCTTGAACTCTCCTCTGCCCACGGTACGAAGGCCAATCTCCCAAGCCGATGAAAATTTTCAACCAGTCTTACAGCTGTCTTTGAAGTGGTGGTTTTGATCATGCAATGGTTTACCGCTACTTCCTTCGTATGCACTCTGCTCAGTGCTTTCCAAGGCCCTCTTGTCCTGTCGTCGAGAAATGGCCGCTACGGCTGCATGACGCCTCAGCGGCCCCATTGCGATTCGACAGGAAACGTCGACAACGAAGCAAGAAAGGTCGCGGGTACATGGATCGTGTCTCCCCGCCCATGTTCACTATCGCTCGATAGGGCAATTTGGCACCGCAATCGACCCCCCGCTAGCCATTGGACTGGCTTGAACATGACGCCTCTACAGTACAATAGGTACCGTGGTATCCCGTATCCGTGCTGTGCATGAATGCCCCAGCCCTGGTTATACAGCGTCTTGGTCCTTCCATGCCAAAACAAAAAAACAATCCCAGAGTCCCCCCTACCACTTCTCGGCACACAGTTCTCCCCCTCGATATCTTGATATCCATGATTTCACCCTCTCATTGGACTCGACCACCCTCGCCCTGGCCTGATGCGTGCCCCTGCACTGCATTGACTTGCCGGTCTTGCATTCGCATCTCTAACCGAAGCACGCACAAATCAATTTTGAACCTGCGAAATTCCCCAAATCTCCACATCGTTATCTGACAACTCACCTTGCGTTATGCCTCTACGCCCACTGCCACTGCCTTGCTCTGACTCTTCATGCTCTCAACCTGGTCCTTTTTTTTTCCTGGCTCTTTCCTGCCTTGTTCCGCGCCCGATAACCACAGGATGCAGAACATGATCTTCCTGCGCGTGTGGGACAAATTCTGATCACGCGGTGTGACAAATCCACAGGCTCGCGAATCGCAACTCTTTCAAAAGCCTCACTTCTTCACCGTCCTTTGGAGTGGGGATAGCTAGAAGAGCAGATCAAAATCGCTCCCTCTCGAGCATGGCGGTTACAGACCGACCAAAGATGCCATCTCGCTACACGATGACGTACTACTGTAGACAGACGGGTTTGCGCAGCCCTATGGCGCGCAGAAGAAAAGCCGGTGCAGCATCCATGGCCGACTTCTGTCTCGCGCGGCCACGTTTACTCTAGTCTGCCACGACACTGCCGGCTGAGCAGCTGCTGTCGACAGATGCGAGCTGCTGCCTAGCTGCAGGACGCACATGCCAAAAATACGGTCACTCATGCGTGAATCAATCCGCTCTGTCGACTAAACCGATTACCAAAAATACCGTACGCCCAACAGGTAACATGCGCAAATAAACCCCTTTTGCCGTGCAAGGTCCCAAATGGATCTTTGCCGTGCAAGGTCCCAAATGGACAACACATACCCGTACCCGACCGTGGCCATGTGTGGCGGTGCACCACTGCGCCTCTTCCTTCCGCTCCACAAGGCCCGGGGTGGCTCGCGGAGGTCGTCTACTCCGAGTCACATGATGATGATGATGGCCGCACACGCAATGCAACCTCTCCGAAAATAAACATGGACAAAACACTAGCAAGAACTGCATGTGTACTGTATGGCAAGTACCGCCTCGGTGTTGGACGAATAGGCACAGGTTACCGGTATGCACTCGGCCGCATATCTTTGGTCACACTCGTCGTCAAGTGCCTCCTTGGTTCGGATTTTGCCTTCCTTGTTGGAAAACAGGTCCGATGGCGAGCTTCCATATCAGCTCAGATCCGCTGCGCTGCCCAGTCGATCGATAGTATTGAATTCGAAACATGTGATCGGATAAGCGATGCTTCCAACGGCCCGGCTACGGTGTAGTTGAGGATGGATCACGAATCAAATACCTGCTTCTCTCACTTTGCCCCTCGCTCAATGACTCTTCGCGAGGAAGCGCTTGAAGCTCGGGCAAATGAGCACTGAGTGCCTTCGTCTTGCCATGTTACTCTACATGATACCTTTCTACGGCACGAACAAGGTCCAGCTCAGATTCGTGTACTGACTGAGTCATCTGACAAAATCCAGATTCAATTCAGCGTAGCGAGCCACGTCCTTGCACGCAGCGTATCTGCCTCCCACAGTCCTACGGAGACATTCACGACGGGCTTACTAAACATTGTGTCTGAACCTCAAAGACGCTATATTCTTATGCGCATTGGCCATTATTCATGGTAGAAGTATATGTTCACATAGACATGCGCACTGACGTTCTGTTCAAGTACGCAACAAATTCTACAACTTGTCTACCTTGGTCAATAGCCACACAACAACACAAGGCCACATTCAACAGTGATGCTCATAAACACCAATCAGACAAGCCCATGTGATACGCAGGCCAATGCTCGTCCTTTGAACCGTCTGATTGCAGATTGTGCGTCCAAGAACTTCAAGCACCACTCGTGGGTGGGTATGAGCTTCTACTTACACTGTGAACTCTGCCAGATGTTTCGTATGCGTCTTGGTATGGTACTCCAAGCTCGTCCATTTGCCCTGGCCATTGATCATCCAATGGTACAACTACAGGCCTATTGTACTCATGTGGACGTATGCGCACTAGCGCTCTAACCATTGTGCACGGCATACAAGACGGCATCCTGTAGTCTACACTATCATTTTTTTTGGCTTACAAAACAGAAGGAATAAACATCTGCTTTGATATTTTGTACGTGAATTTCTTCTGCTGAGATGCCGTGTATTTAATACATCTTACCTTGCCTTGCCTTGCCATCCATTGCCCTACTCATACCAAGTTATAACCGTTTCACTCCTGGCTGATATGAATGAACCTAGTCACGAGATTGATCCTCGTCTTATCTCTGCCTGCAATGGGGAAAATCCATGATCCGGGGATTGCAACAGGGTGGGAGAATAAGATTGGTAGGTCTGAAGTCTCAAAGTTCAAGTTTACGAGTTCCAAGTCGAGGGTTTCTTCGTGGGGGGGGGGGGGGATGAAAATGTTTGCTGTGTAGACATCCATGGGCCATTGTACTTTTACATCACTGAGATTCCATGCCAGATAAATACCCAAGGTACCACACAACCACCCTATCACGACCTACTTCTTCCTTTTGCTCAAAAATAATACCCTGTCGATACTATGTATCAGAAAGTTCAACCACCACGCGTCATCCAACTGCCTGCCTGCTTACTACATCGAACCCCCATCTATTCACCCGCTTCCCAGCGCACGATGCTGGGTTTCAACATGGTACTACCACCACCATTGGTCTACACTACCATGATGCATCACGGTTTTGAGCCCGCACCTACAACATCATATCCGCGGCTTGATAACGTTGGCATGCAACCATACCCCGGGTCCACAGCCCTCGTGGTGGTCTGCTAGGAGTTGTTTGCGAATTATACGCGTCCTCATGGACAAGTGTATCGGCCATGCGGAGGACATGTGAATTATTGCCACACCAAAGGGCGATATGACCGCTGTGGTCTACTGTTGATGACGGCCCGAGGCGGAAGTGTCGAGCCCCTTTTTCGCGGACAGCATTTGCTGCTCGTGTTGTGGATATGTGTTTTCGTGTAGCGCATTGATGAATCCCATTCCATGGCCTGTATGCGAGGAATGGAGATGGCAAATTGGTAACTCTTGTCGTGTCGGGCGCCTCCGAGGATGCCGGCATGTGTGAATAGCCGTTTGCTGTGAGAGCACGTTGGGTGGGCGTCTCCTACGGCCTTCTAGCCAAGAGCTGCTCTATGCTCACGACGACGGACCAGCCTGCGCAGCAAAACCTCCTCTTCCCCCAAAGCCTCTTCCGCCCCCTCTCGCAGGCCCTTGAGGCTGTCGAATAGGCTTCTCCTGTCCATTCGGTGTAGCCGGTCGACTAGCACCTGCCTCCTTCCTCTGGATATATACAGACCCTGGTTTGGGCGTATACGTAGGATCAAACAACCCCCGTGCTGTGGCCGTGGCCGTGGTTGCATTCGCCGATGCCCTCGCAGGCGATTGCTCGTTACTCGACCGTGTCTGCATATCCTTGCCGCCTCTTCCCTTGCCCCTGCCTCTCATGGGTCTGTTTGGCGAGTTGCTGCGCGAGTCCTCGGTTGCAGAGGCAGCGGGTGACCCAAAGATGCGCTCACGTGCTTCTGCGTACTTGCGCTCTTTATCTGCGCGTTCCTGTTGCGCGCGCGTCTTGCGCTCTTCAAAGTCGGCGGCGGCTTTCTTGCGGCGCTCTTCTTCGCTGTCGTCGTCGTCGAGAGCTAAGCCCGCCATGTTGCGGGCGAGGACTTGGGGGGCGGGCTTGCGGGCTAGCATGGTGACTTTGGGTTTGAAGGTTGCGACGGGGACAGAGCTGCGAACTTCTGGGTACCATTGGGGTTCTGGATTCTCGCTGTGGGCATGGGAGTGGTCAGTTGCGGCGGAAAGTCAGACCGAAGTGGGTGAGAGCGCACGCTGATTGCCATAGTTGTTTATTGAGCTCAATGTGCCTGGCTTTGAGTTGCGCTTTGGTGAGTTTTGGTTCTGGCTTGGGTGCTTCTGGCTGTTCGTCTTCTTTCTGCGTCGTGTGAGCTAGGCGCGCCGGTTGATAGTTAGCAATATAAGAGAGGACGCACATCAGCGAGCGATTCCCAGTCGTCGTCCCAGGCGTCGGCAAGAGCGCTTTTCTTTGGGGGCATGGCTTCTCGGTGGTGTATGTCAATCGTCGGCGGCTTAGGGGGCTACGTAAAGGGGAATCTGGCAGACTATCCACGTCGCATTAAAGATGCAGCCGAGACGGAGGACACGAGTGTGTGCACTGTGCAGTAAGGCGGGTATACCCACACCCTAGAACAAGCGGTACCAGGTAGAAGCCACCTCGGCCGCTCTTCCGTCATACCTACACAGGCGAGAGAGACCAGACCACAACCCCATGAAGCTTTGACCTTGCTAGAACCCACACCTCCACCAAGCCAATGCCCGATGCTCTCTCACGCAAGCGTAGCAAGAGAATAACATACTCCGCCAAAACTCTCATCACAAACGCCACCCTCAGTGCTCATCTCTTCTAACTCGTCGAGCGCAATGTCTGGTACGTTCACCTGTTCCCCCACGCCTCCCCAACTAACCCCAATCCCCCCCCACCACCCTCAAGACCTCGAAGGCGACAGCACAATGCACTCCTCGCCCTCCAACGACGATGACGAAATGTTCCCCGACGAAGCCATCCCCAACAACAGCACCCACAACCCTTCGACACCCCACCACCCCGCCCTAGACTCGACCGCCGACCTCTCCCCGCCAAACTCGCAGTCACAATCGCAACAAGCCCAATCCCACTCACAGACCCGCGACCCGTCCAACCCAACAACAGGCGTCAACGCAAACGGCAAGCGCCCCCTGTCCGCAGCGCAAAATGTAGCTGCCAGTATGCTGGGAGGCGGCGGCACGCATCAGGATGCCGAGACGGGCTATCAGTGGAGTCGGCCGGAGGATCAGCCCGGGTTTGAGTGGAAGAACAATAGGGCGCGCGAGGATGAATTGAGGGCTTTGGATGTGATTATTCATTTGGGCAGGCAGATCAAGAGTAAGATGAATGACAGGCATGGGACTCGGTTTGGACATGTGTGCTAACTAGCTGCAGCGAGATACGGTGATCCGCTCGACCCAACTGTCCCTGCCAAAACGAAGCGATGAGATTGATGGCGAGGTCAAGCTTAGAGTGGAGAGAAGGAAAGCATGGAACAGGTCTCGCGGCACAATGGAGGAGTCACTTTCACCTTTCAGCCACGAATGACAGCGCGTTGCGGAGCTCGTCACCAGCCTACTCATGCTAGTCAAGGAGAACATGCACAAATGGAAGAGACAGGGGAGCTATACATGGCACGCAACGAATCAGTACATATTGAAGCCCGGGTAGATCACCCTGGTTGTAACGTAACATAATGAATACATGAACACATTCAATTCAAGTCTACACATAATCTACTTCACACAGCTCAAACATATCAACTGCAGTGCACCCTGTTGCGTATACGATGATCATTGGGCTCGCGTTGCACCGTATAGTGAGCATGAATACCTCACTGAATGAGACAGAATGCCCATGCCAATATCCGTGAAAATACCAACGGCCACCATAGACCCCGTACAGGGCTCATCGCCGTGAAGGAGAAGAGTTAACCATATAACAAGAAGAGAAGAGAAGGATATACTCGAAGACAACCACCTCATTACCCCCCCCCCCCCCGCCTTTCAAGCGCCCCTCTGCAAGTGTTCTTGCACATCCTGCCCTGAGACCTGCCCTTCAATGACTCGTGGAATTTCAAGCCGACGCAAGAGCCTCTGCGCAAAAGTTCGTGGGCCCACTGCAACCTCTCTCGCATGGAACTCCCTATCAGCTTGTGCATGCTGATGGACCTCCAAGAATTCTGCTACTTCTTCGATATGGTTCACAAATTCATCTCTCCGCCTATCTTGCGGTTGTGCTTGATGAGGTATGGGAGGACGGAGACCAAGTGCGTTTGGGTTGGGAACAGGAGCAGCTTCAACACGCTCAGCCACCACGCCATCCTGCCCAAGATTACGCGCTCTACGAGCATAGCCTGGGAGGGCCCACCTCATGACCCGCAACGGTCCGGCAATCCTAGCAATTCTGATTAGGTGCGTGATTCCGGTAGCAGCGCGGACATAGCGGTAAAACTTGATGGAATGCTTGACGAGGTGGGTAATACTGATATGGCTGCTGCTGCATGGCGTGGAAACCGGCAGGCGGAGCGTAATTAAAATGCTGAAGAGGTTGAACAGGCGGAAAGGGTGGCAAAGCAAACTGCTGCTGAGGGTGGAAAAAGACTGGTGCTGGTGCGAAAACTTGGTAAGGAGGTACATACTGAGCTGGAGGACGAAAGAGGGGCGCTGGTCTGGGAGCCTGCTCTCGAGCAGGCGGTCCGTGGAAGTCAACATCCCATCCTTGTACCTGGATTCCGGCTACTCCTACCAGCGGTGCCGGACCTGGAACTGGAGGATGGGGACGGGGAAGGGCACGGTTATGAAGCTGTTCACCAACCATGTGGAATGGAAACGCACCAGCTTCTGCTGCTGCTCGGCCTTTGCGGACGTCTTCTACTTGTTTAACGCGGTCTGATACTTTGATCATCAGGTCGGCCTCAGATAGATCGGGATTCTCGGCGCGAAGCTTGGTCATGGCCTCATCTGCCGCTTTCTTGACCTCTTCCTCGTGGCGGTCTTCAATATTTTCATGTAGGGGGCATTTACCATGCTCAAATTCGCCGAAGTGGTCGTAACCTGTTACGTTCTTGGAGCAGACGTAGCTAGCAGATGTATTAGCCGTGTTGACATCAGCATATCACCAATTCACCACCCTCACAACGTACCATTGCACATTTCTGCAGTGCGAACATGTCATTTTATTACACCCCATTTCCTTGACGAATGGCTGTCTGCACTGGTTACAATGCCGGATAAGTGCAGAGGACATCGCCTCCTCAATGATATGTCGGAAGGTGAGCTTTCCTTCTTTCTTGGCTTCTTCGCACGATAGTGGAATGTGTGTTTCCATGTTACAAAGTCGGCAGCTTGTCTTTCCACACTTGTTACCTTCGCATCTGAACTCCTTGTCTATGTTAACTGGAGGGCATTCCATCTTGAAATCGCAGAATGGGCATTCGGAGAGAAAGTCAAGACCAGCCGCTTTCAGGTCCTCCATCTGTTGCATGTGCTCGAGGCGCTCGAAAGTCTTCTCACTGAGGACTTGCTGAAGCTGTGTGCGAGAGAAAGTTCCGTTGCAGTCGGTGACACCGAAGCAAGTTGGCCGGCAGCGAGACTGACCCATCAAAGTTTCAATTTGCTGCCGAGGGCAGTCCATGCAGTAAAAGTGTGCGGTACGCCCGTTGCAGCTGATCATGCGATTGAGAGGCAAGTCATCGAAACAACACGCACACTCGCCCATCTGGTTGGCGATCTGCGCTTGTCGTAAATTCATTTCCTCAGCTTGATCTGTCTCCATGGCTTGCTGACGTTTAGCTGTCAATTGTTAGCATCCGGTTCCCGTTGTGGGACTTGAAAATTGGGGGGGGGGAAGAGGGGTTTCTGTGATACGCATAGAGTGTCCCCATTCCTTTCGACCTGCTGATGGCTCTACTGCAGACTATCCCCGGTACCAGAAAACGGGCTGCGGTGGGTGAGACAATAGAACACTGAACTCACCAGCTGTGATCTCCTTTCTCCTCTTTGCAGCGTGAAGTTCTTTGGGGATTTTACTTCCCCGCTCGATTAGTATGAGCTCTGTGCCGTGCTTGACGCGTGGTTTGGCGATTTTGGCGAATGGTGTTGCGATCTGCTTATAGGTCTGCAACTGTTCCTCCAGCACACCGAAAGCCTTGAAAAGCGTCTTCTCTTTCTTCAGCATGTAAGAAAGATGTCTAATTGGCACGTTAAGGAATTCGTCCTTTAGCAGGTTTAATCTGCGAGATTGTTGTTAGCCCAGGGCCAGTGAGTATGGCTTGATGCGTGGAAGGTAGTGTCATTAAAGACCTCCAAGTCTCGGGGAAGACCAAAGAAGCCATTATGCATAACCCGTGAACTATAGTAGATGTGAACGCCAGTTGAATGAAGCGGCCGTATTGTTGGCTCTGACGAGGTCTGGACGACCATTGATCTTGCTTCGTATGTGCAAGTTCTTGGACAGAGCGTCTTCCATGTGCGCGGCCACCAGTATTTTCTTGAAGATAGGGCTTATTGGCTCGTCTGTGATCATTGGCCATAGCAAAAGTACGTCCTAAGAGCCAGATCAAGCTTCGGAAATTATAAAACGGCACTTACGCATCTTGTTCATAATCCGTGATATTCTCATCCCTCTCTCCTCTCTCGTAGTCGCTCAAGTTTCCATCATCATCATCATCATCGCGTTTTCGTTTTCTGTTCTTCGATTCATCCGCCTCTTTGGGATACTCTTCACCGTCAAGGAGTCCAGCAATCAGAAGTTCACATCGGTCTACAGTACGTGTCGCATCTCTTGTTTTCTCATTGATGACTTTAAGCGCATGGTCGATGGAGATGTCTGGAAACACGTTGAGTACCATCTGCAAGCAGTCGGATTCGGTAACGAGTTGTCCAATGTCTTTTGGGCCCGTGGCCTGAGCATTTGGCCGGGGTTTCCGGTCATCCGTGACACAGTGATCTGATGATGGAACATCGACATCTGGTATTGCCGTGAGATCAATCAGTTCGTCATCGTTCTCTCCAAATAGTTCGGGCTGGTAAATGTTTTCGGACATGTTATCGAAAACCTGTAAGTCTCCTCCAGCATCCCGCGCCAATTCGGCATCGCAGCGCTCAACAGCTACATCCGGGCCTCTTTCATCCTCATTTTCTGAAGAAGCTTCTGAAGAAAGTTCGATGATCTCGTGGCCGCCTTCGAGCCCAGGCCGGACCATTTTTCACTGGATCACTGCGGCGATGAATGGCAGGTATTAGCCGCAGAGAACCGTCCTCGAATATGAAGAATGTTGAAGTGGTCTTTACATTCGGCTGAAGAAAGATCTCTCCCATTCACGCAAGAACAGAGTGAAGGCGCCAACGAGGTCCTTGTCCGAGAGAGATAACGAATTCGCTGCTTGCAAGATTTGAGCAACGCCTGACCGCTGTGAAATCACAATTGATAGACATTAGAAGACGTGTATGCGAAGAGAGTGGAATGACGCAGATGGCGAGAGGGCCAATGTGTTTTGATCCAGCTGAGCACCGTGCAGCCTTGCCCTTTCACCCCCACTAACGATGGCCAGACGGGCAGCTTCGTGACGCGAAATGAATGTAAACAAAGAGATGTAAACCAACAAGTGCTGCTGATTCACGAGATCTGGTATGTTCCCGCAATGTGCAGATCGCCCAGGCGTGACGAAGGCTGTTGTCTTTTCTTGTTCGGGCTGTTGCAAACGACGCCAGCGCAACGAGCAGTCACGTTGGTCAGACAGGTGAGAGCGCGAGGCAGTAGCTATATGCCGTAGCAGCTCCAACAGTAGGAAGACATCACAACGTCGTAGCGCTGAGCTATCGTGAGGCGACGAGACTAAGACGCGTTGTCGATCTGGACTGTTACCGTACCCATGCCACGCTCGCTCCGACGGGGAGTTCCGGCGCGTCTCAGGTCATCTACCTAGGTACGTCGATCGCGCAGCATGTCGACCATTTAGCCCAACGGTTTTGCCAAGTCGTCTGTAACTCTACGTCCATTGCACAATGCTCAAGTGAAGCATGGCTCGTAGCACCATTTGGCGGGAAGCCCCCCATCGCGACACAGCGTGACCGATGCTATTGCTCGACGTCATACCTCGTACCGGTACACCAGCGCATGACCCTTGCGGAAGGGGGACATTGCTCGCTTTGACACGGCACACCGCGGGCCGCTCAGGGCAACGGTATCTGATACCTTCTTGTGGAGAAGGGGAACGGGGACACTGGGGCACGGGCATTTGTGGGAGGATGTGCGGGGACTGAAGGTTGTGAGGATTCCATGGGGAAACGTGGGGGTATCAGTATCGGATAGACAAAGAGCCTTGCATCCCTGAAGACGGACATGATGGACGGACAACATTGACATGGCCTCGATCACTCCGAGCTGTATATGCGTGGAACACCAGGCTCCCATCCTTTGGCTGAGATCCTTCATATTCATTCCGTTTCCCGAGTCGGCCTACGCGTGACTAGCGGGATCGACTTTGATCACGCCCTACACGACAAGTGCACATTTGCTCAGACTAGGGTGGTTACATAAAGCCACCATCACAACCCATACTGTCCACCAAAGACCGCAAAAATGGACGCTCTTGCCAATCTCAAAAAGGGAGACTCTCCAACACTCGCTCTGGTGCACCCCACCGAGGAAGAGAAGTTGTATCAGTTCAAACTCAACAGCGCTGAATGGCGTGGAGCCCTCTCTCCTGAAGCATACCTCCGTCGCGAGGAGGTACTCTCACATCAGGCGCTCACAAAGGACGGCGGCATCTCTTACTGGATTCTTGTCGACACCTCTCTGCCCAACAATCCATTAGAGCCCGATTCTGGCATGAGACTACCGCTTGCAAGTTGCGAATCATTTCGAAAGAAAGCGTTGGTATGGCAGAATGGGGAGTTGCAAGAAGTCATCACACATTGTATCGGAAGCGTGTTCTGTGCACATCACCTGAGAAAGAGAGGGTACGCGCAAAGAATGATGCAGGAAATGGGCGAGATTCTGAAAACCTATCAAACTACTCAGGAGAACGACTGTTTGTTCTCGATTCTCTTCTCTGATATTGGAAAGGTTGGTTCAGTAATGGATCTTGCTAGCATACGTACGCTGATCGAAATAGCAATTCTACAATCAATTCGGATGGGAGCCATTCCCGTCATCACATGTCTCTATGCCACCCACCACATCTGCAAATGTGAAGAATTTACCCGTCGCTCGACCGCTGTACGAAGAAGATTTGGAAGAACTGTGCAAGATTGACGTTGCTGCTCTGAGACGGAGCTTGCAGTCTCGGCCCAAGGGCAGCAAGGCTGCCGTTGCGCTGACACCTGATATCGACACGATTCGGTGGCACCATGCGCGAGAAGAGTTTGTCGGAATGGAGCTCCATGGCAAGACACCAAAGATCAAGGGGGCCATGGTGACTACAGGAGAAGGCAAGCGAGTGTGGTGCTACTGGACACGCATGTGGTACAACCCCAACACAGCCGAGGCGAAGGGCAATACCTTGCACATACTAAGACTGGCAATCGACGACGCGAAGTCGAGGATAGCCATTAATGGGGCTACCAACGGCCAAAGCAATGGTCAAAGCAATGGTCACACCAATAGTGACGCCAATGGCCATACAAACGGCCATGTCAACGACAAGTCGGGTGATGAAAGTGAAGAAGCTGCTATTGCATCTCTACTGGCGATGGCGCAACATGAAGCAGAAGAATGGAAGATGGAGCACGTTGAGATGTGGACGCCATCGCCGAGCGCGCTGGCAGCAGCACGCAGATTGCATCCTTCGGCGGAAGTGATTGACCGGGACACTGAGAGCATAGCGTGTCTGCGGTGGTACCCCGACCATGATGGACCAGTCGCCGATAGGATTGACTGGGTGGGGAACGAGAAGTACGGATGGTCGTGACAGGCCGTTGATGATAGTAATGAAATAAACTGCGACTCACGATACACAAATGCAGTCGAGACTTGTCATGAGAGTTGCGCGTGTGATGTTGTTGTTATCATGTCGTCATTGCTCTATAAAAAAAATCGCATCAAGTCGCGTCCTCGGACCGGCGCTTGAACCTCCAAGTGAGAATCTTCTTCCTCGATCCACTGGCAAGCCAGAATAATCAATGAAAAAGAGAAAAAAGCCTGTCAGATTGCCATCAACACCCTGCCTTCCAGCGCGACCGAAGTACACAACTGGTTGGCTGAAGATCATCGCCACGTTCGCCGAAGCAAACGTTACAAGGCCTCACTCCGGGGCATCGAGGCTACTGCTCATCAACCAGGTTGGGGATTCTGTGGCTTTTTTGAGAAGCTCAGAAAGGAGACGATTACTATAGAATAGATTCTATCTGGTGGGGGGGTCAGCAACTGGCTTCCCATGATTGTTGTGGTATATGGGGTAAACATACGAAGTAAGATCGACATAATTCTTCGAAAGGAGGACGAGGGAGACGGGCTTCTTATAGACGTGGGAGGAGCTCGCATGACTAAGCAGCACGGTCCGCCCCGCTAGCAAAATTCTGCTGCCGAAGTCCTGCCGACGCCAGCCACCGGCCACCAGCGACGGGCTTCGGGCTCCGGGCGCCGGGCTCCGGGCTCCACCTCGCCGATGCGGCCACAGCACAACAGCTGCACAGCATAGGCCATCCGAATCCATCTCATGAGCTAAGAGTACTCTAGTATGCACAAGTTAGATACTGTCAAGTCATGTATCGATTTGTGAGAATGGAGGGAGAATATGTCTTGGAGATGGCAGGTCTCGCATGATGAATTCGCACTTCCAAGTTTCACGCACACACGACTACTGGAAGTCATCATGGCACCAGGGTTGAGGGGCAGCACAGAATGTCCATGTAACAATATACTTTTCCTCTCTACAATGGCTGCACATGTCTGTACATGGTATATATGACATTCGGACCTGCAGTCATGTTTCGAACCCCAGTTTCGTGCTCCCCATCTTAGTAAGCCAGTTGATTCCCATGCTGTTTGCGTGACAGATTCTGGAATGCATGCTGGCATGTTACCTAAAGCACTGCGGCGGGGTATCCACTGTGGTCACGAGAAATACAAGAGTTCCTCTGAAGCTTCCAAGCAGATGATCGGAATGGGCCCTTTTGGAAGCTTGCATCGTTAGCAAACCAAGATAGGGCCCAACATGTGGCCTCTGTGGCGGATGCGGCGATTGATTAGGCTTTAGAGACGGTTCCATTGAGTCACTGCGATCGCGGAGCTTCAACAACAATTTTCCCCACGGGGACCGCAACCGGACAACTTCTCCAGTTACCGGCGGATACAGATACAACACTGAACATCATCACCGCGCCTTTGCATCTGTACATTTCCTGTACAGTGTCGCCCAGCAACACAGTTCATTGCACAGAATGGCTTCATCATCACACACTGCCTCGCAACGCTACCTGAGCACGCGTGGGGGATCTTATGATGTAAGAGAGAGCCCCATGCGCATTGTACCATAGCAGTCGCGCGAACACTGCCATGGTTCGCTGACAATCTTCACACAGCTGTCGTTTGAGGAAGTCGTCCTCAAGGGTCTTGCCTCAGATGGCGGCCTCTTCATCCCAGAGGAAATCCCCAGACTGCCCGACGACTGGGTGTCCAAATGGAAGGACCTCTCCTTCGCAGACCTCGCATACGAGATCTTCTCCCTCTACATCTCGCCATCCGAGATCCCTGCCGCCGACTTGAAAGACATTGTCCGTCGCAGCTACTCGACCTTCCGCGCAAAGGAAGTCACGCCCACAGTCACGCTCGACAAAGACAAGAACATCCATTTGCTCGAGCTTTTCCACGGACCTACCTTTGCGTTCAAGGATGTCGCGCTGCAGTTCCTCGGTAACCTGTTCGAGTACTTCCTCGTGCGCAAGAACAAGGGCAGGACAGGCAGGGACAGAGAGCATTTGACCGTCATTGGCGCAACAAGTGGTGATACTGGTTCAGCCGCCATTTACGGTCTACGAGGCAAAAAGGATGTCTCCGTCTTCATCATGCATCCGCACGGCAAGGTCAGCCCGGTCCAAGAAGCGCAGATGACGACGGTCATGGACGCCAATGTCCACAATTTGGCTGTGGACGGCACATTTGACGACTGCCAGGTATGCGCGCATGAGACGCTTTCAGTGTCTACGCAGAACACCACTGATTTTTTCGCAGGACTTCGTCAAGGCCCTCTTCGCCGACCCCGAAATCAATAGCACGCACCGCCTTGCGGCCGTCAACTCCATCAATTGGGCCCGCATCCTCGCCCAGATCACATACTACTTCTACTCATACTTCGATCTCATCAAGCAAAAGTCGTTCCTGTCAGCATCGACCATCCGCTTTGTTGTGCCAACGGGCAACTTTGGCGATATCCTAGCCGGTTTCTTCGCGAAGCGCATGGGCCTGCCCGCGGAAAAGCTGGTCATAGCAACTAACGCGAATGACATCCTGCATCGCTTCTGGGTGTCTGGAAGGTACGAGAAGAAGCCTGTGCATGGAGAAGAGGCCGCGGGTGGCTTTGTTGAGGATGGTGTCAAGGCGCACGAGAGCGGTGTCAAGGAGACATTGAGTCCGGCCATGGACATTCTTGTGTCTTCCAACTTTGAGCGTCTGCTGTGGTTCCTCGCATACGACGTATACAGCACAAACTCAGATGCAGTGTCGCAACGACGAAGTCAGGCAGGCGACCACGTACGCGGCTGGTTGAACGACTTGAAGTCAAAGGGCGGCTTTGCCGTCGACAAGCAGATCCTACAAGCAGCGCAATCGGACTTCGCATCATATCGTGTTAGTGATGAAGAGACCATTCAGACTATCAAGGATGTCTTCAACGCAGAGTCTTCAAAGAGCTATATCCTAGATCCACACTCAGCCATCGGCATTGCAGCGGCACACCGTTCCATTGAAGTCGCGAAGCCTCCGTCTGTACATCACATTGCGCTCGCCACCGCACATCCTGCAAAATTCGCAAATGCAGTCGAGCTGGCGTTGCCAGAACAGAAGGAGTACTTCCAGGAGAAGGTCTTGCCTGTTGAGTTCAAGGGCCTGGAGGACAAGCCCCGGCGAGTCAGCCACGTCAAGAGATCAGAAGGATGGGAAGGCGTACGAAAGGTTGTTGTAGCAGAAGTTGAGGCTGAGCTTCAAGCGGCAGAGAATGAGGCGCAATAGGTTTGGATAAAAGACCATAAGAAATGTGTTGGTATTTTGAATTGACGTAACGCTGAGGTTATTGCAAAGGTAGATTTCACATGGTCTATAGATGGTGTTCAGAAAAAAAAATACATGGGATTGGATAAGCAGATTGGTACTTCACAGTCTGACTTGTGAATGATCGTATCATCCACTCGCCCCCTCATCCCTATTCTTTACTCCATCCGTCTCAAATTCGAGCCCTGCTCTCCGCCGCACAATCCCAAACACACTACTACTGTCACACCTCCTCCCCCTCTCATCCCCATACGCTTTCGCTTCTCTCGCCGCATCCAGATAAAGCTCACCAATCTCCAACCTCATCCCCTTCTCCGTCGCAAGACCAACACCATGCCCAACATCCTTAATCCCCAACTCCAGCCCCGAACTCGGCGCCCGCCCCTCTGGAGGGAAATATGAACCAGAAGTCAACCGCCTCGACACGCCATGCACATATGCACCAAAGTTCTGCTCCACCAGCATCTCGAGAACATCAGCCGGCAGACCAGTCTTCGCAGCAAATGTATGTGCCTCGCTGAGGAGGTACATGAGTCCCGCAGTGATGAAGTTGCCAGTCGTCTTCAGCAGCAATGCGCTGTCGGGTTCGGTGCCTACGTGGATGACTGCGCGGGCGATTACACCTTTGAGGAAGGGTGAGATGGTTTCAAGGGCTTGGGTGGGGCCGGCGATGGCGACGAGGAGGCCTCCGGCTTGTGCGAGGGGAGTGGCGCCGAAGACGGGGGCGGCGATGTAGGAGGCGCCGTGTTTGTGGATTTGCGTGTGGATGGATGATGTGGTGGAGGGGTGGACGGTGGTGTTATCCACAATGATCTTGGAGGTGATGGGCCCGCTGTCAATTATCGAGTATATGACTGTCTGGAGAGCCTCATCGTCGCTGACCTGGGACCGTTTGTTACACTTTTTTTTGCATCTCATGAGAGGGAGGGGGGCATTGGGTACGGAAATGAAGATTATGTCACACATCTGGATTAATTCCTTGATTGAATGACATGGCCTGGCTTTGTTTGCTCTGAGAGGTTCGCCTTTTGAAAGTGTACGGTTCCAATAGTTCAAGGGTGGAAGTCCGTTGTCGTTTACATGTTTCTGCATGTTGATAGCCATGGCCAATCCCATGGATCCAAGCCCCAGCCATCCAAGGCGAGGTCGACCCTGTGATGCCATTGACAGTATTGAGGGGTATAAGAATATCTTACACTGGACCACAAAAGCGTAGGTGACGCAAGACGAAAGTCCTGACTCCTGCGCAAGGCGAACATCGTACTAGGGTCAAACTAGGCAGGTAGGTCCTATGCAAACTTGGATTCAACAGCGGCTAACAAAGGACAAGTATGAGCAAGTCGAAGAGGAAACAATCACATCATTCAACACACAATAAAACCCGTGCACCTACCTCTAGCAAATCCGTTTCACACCATATGCTCCCGTCAGTAGTCTCAGCACAATGTAAAACATCCAACATCTGCAACATAAGTTGGCGAACCCACGAACCCAGCCATAATTTCCACCAAAAGCAATTGTTTCCTTTCCGAAGCATCAATAGCTTTAGATCTGAGCTCCAGCTGGGTAAGATCGCCCTAAAAGTGCAACCGCAAATGTGTGGTAATTATGGTAGGTATTCGACACAAGCCGGGTAAAAAAACTTATAACCGTGTGGATTATAAGAATGATGGATACCTTGGTGGAGACGAATTTAATACTTGGTGCAGAGGACAAACGCCGACACCTAGAGGAAGCGTCTGCTTCACGCCTAAAGGCAAGAACGCACCTGACTATCGGGAATGTGGTGTTGGTCTATGGGGGTGCTATAATAAATTTAGGGCGGTCTCCAAGGACGAACTGCAAGTTTGGAAATCGGAACCCTAGTACGAGGCTCCAGTCAATGCGCTGCCTACCTATCTATAGTTAAGGCTATTAAGCCCATGTCTTAGGTACGGACCAAGCAATAAACCCTTGCTGCCCCGTCCATCACAATGCTCAATATTTTCATACGATAAATACAATTTGACGTCTGGTCTGTCAATTCCAGAAGACTCTCTTTGAAGAATAGGGATACCCAAACGCAGTTGAAATTGCTTCTCTTGGTTGTACGGTAATAGTAGCAGCTCAATATAGCCCGTTAATACCTTGTTCATCACGTAAGAGCCTTTCCGCTATTAAATTGTAGTCTAGTAGTAAGACCCTGGTATTTGAATGCCCATTGGAGTGGATCACGTTCACAAGTACAATCATGACACTGCCGAGGCACATTTGCACATGTAGACAAGGTTCGGTTATGCTGTCTGTCTGGACCTGAACAGTGCGTTCACACATACGACCATATAACCCGATTCGCAAGAGATCAAGGAAAAGAATTAGGTTCCTATTTCTAAACCAGTCCAATCTCAACTCTACCTTGGATCTTACACCACCACCACCACCACCATAACCATGTCATTTCTCTTGACAGATTACAACATCTCCGCCCTCGCAATCCCAGCATACTACATTCTCTCTCTCCTTCCCCACACCTTCGCCCTGAGAGTAGCTACTCAGGGCAATCTCGCAACATGGGATAATCGTAATCCGCGCTCTAGCAGCATGAAGGCGCAGCTCAAGGAAAAGTTGCCAGTGGACGTGTATAACAAGTATGAGAGGCTGGAAGCCTGCCATGCTAATGGAATGGAGGTCAGTGAGATGAGAGGTTGAAATCATTCAAAATGAAGCCTGATACCCATCCCTGATCCCTCAATTCTTGCCTCGCAAGTCTGAATTGCCTGGGATGATTGGTTCACTAATTGTGACTATAGAATATGGCCCTCTTCGCTTCAGCGGTCATCCTGGGCAACATTGCTAGGCTTCAGCAAGACGAGTTGACGAAGTTTGTTGTGTCGTTCCTAGCTGTGCGTGTAACGTATACCGCAGTCTATGTAGCGAATACGACGCAGGGGCTGGCGGCTGTAAGGAGTGTATTGTGGTTCACGGGAGTGAGTCTTTGCTTTCGAACGTTATTCAGGGCGGCGGGCGCAATGGGCTATTGAATAGGGTTTGATGTGGTGAGAAGACAGGGCATTGTCTCATGGGTGAAGTTAGTGTACTGTGTCCCGGGTCCTTAAGTAGAATATCGTGTCAGTTGCAGTATTAGACACGGAGTTGAAAGCAATCTCGACTGTCATACGAGATAAGACCCCGTTGATGCGTGTCTATTGTGAGTCCAGACAAACAGCTGCTGGTTTGAATGTCCAGAACAACTTGGAGTTGTGCTGGTTGCTGGAATTGACGCGGCCCATAGTATGTTGCCTCGGAACGTGGGCCTCGTCACCGTCGTTAGACTCAGGTCTTACACCGACCAACTCACAAATGCCATCAGTCGTATCCTTTCTATAGTAGAAAGAAGCTCAAATTGGATAGTTGCAAGTAAAGTAACCAGAGATTGTCTCCCCAACGATCCGTGAAACACAAGTCATAGCACTTCACACAAACTCCAATGGTGAAAAGAAAACTGTCCGCTCCACCATCCGTCTGATAGACACCGATGCATACATTTCTGGGTCGTGGTTGTAAAAAGACGTAGCTGGAAGAAGCCATAGGCGAAGCCTTTATTATGGCATGTCTGATGGACAGACGTCGACGTTGTCAGGTTGCTACGTAAGTCGTGTGCGACACAACTTAGTTGTGGCCGGCCTTGCGAAGCGAGTTGCTCAACCATTCGAGACCCTCGTACAGACCGTCACCGGAGGTAGCGCAAGTCGACTGGATGTACTGTACCAGATGTTAGCTTCTCAACCAAGGAGTCTTGTTTGACCGTCACCTACCCATGCACGCTGGCGGAGGCTGTGGAGGCCAAGCTTGTCGGTAATCTCGGCGGCATTCATTGCGTTCTAGTAAAGTCATGTCAGCCTTTGTCGCACTGTAACTCGCCCAGAGCGTGATGGTGGCTTACGGGCAAATCCTGCTTGTTGGCGAAGACTAGGAGGAGAGCATCCCTGAGCTCGTCCTCGTTCAACATGCGCTGTAGCTCCTCACGCGCCTCGACGACACGGTCGCGATCGTTACTGTCGACGACGAAGATGATACCCTGGGTGTTCTGGAAGTAATGCCTCCAGAGAGGACGAATCTTGTCTTGACCACCCACATCCCATACGGTGAACTGGATGTTCTTGTACTCGACGGTCTCAACGTTAAACCCTACAGCCGTTAGGTCAGCGCATCATTTACAGGGGCCAATCAAGTGTCGTAACGTACCAATGGTGGGGATTGTGGTGACGATTTCACCCAGCTTGAGCTTGTACAAAATGGTCGTCTTTCCGGCAGCGTCAAGACCGACCATCAGAATGCGCATCTCCTTCTTTCCCCATAGCTTGTCGAAGAGCTTCGAGAAGGTAAGACCCATGGTGGCGGTGGTTGTGGGTGTCGTGTGTGAAAGGTAGGAGGCGGGAAGGCGGTGTAAGGACTCTCGAACCTGCGGCGCCACAAGTCAGACATGGTTTTCAGGAACCCTCATGGCGTCATTGGCGGGTGTTGTGGAGGGTGAGAGAAGGGTGGTTCGCGAGCGTGGCCATATTGAGCGCCAGATGCGGGATCGAGGGTCGAAGGCCGTGTGGAGAGAGCCATGTGCTCCTCAGGGGAGAGGGGTAGACAAAGCCAGCGAAGAACGCGAGGGCCAGCAGCGATTGACTTACGGATAGTGTTCAAGAGAGTCGGATGTGGTTGGAGATGGGGCGGGTGGATGTGGATGTACTTTAATTGATGCACAGGATGGGCAAGAGACTTGTGGACAGGTTGGGGAGGCGCGAAAAGCTGGGCACTGGCCGTACACTGGTAAGTGCGGAAAAGCACGTGATCGCCATCACCGGCCCTGACGCTGGAGATCGCTTATCGACACCAGGAGTTGCGGTGAGACGGGTGCCTGCTACTCCTGAACCACCGTCTGTATGCGCCTTATACAGGAGCCTTGTGTGTGTGTGTCTGTATCTTTGGAACAGGACACGTTTTCCGCTCTCTGCAAGCTGGATGCGGGCGCGTAGGCAACAGCCGTCCTCTGTTTGGCGATGCATTCAACCAAAACCTGGGCGGCCAGGGATTGCTCGCGCTTGAGGCCCACATTAGTCTACGCTAACGACAACTATGAAGCGGGTTGCGGGCGGATCTCGTAGACGTCTAGGCAACGGAGAATAAGACTCTTAATACACCTCTGCTTTGTCTTTTGTCTTTCATCTCTAGTATCTACCTGCTAATTGCCTGCCTCGCTTCGCTCCTACGTCTACTTTCCAGTCACGCTGATGCGCCAGGCCTGCGGTGATCCCATCACCCTGACCCCGTATGTGAACACGGCACTTGTGTAGCAACAGAGCACATAAGGACTGCGGGTGCAGATGTGGCATGCCAATCTCCAGACGGTGAAATTTCATCCGCTGCCTCGTTTTAAGGATGCAATATAAAATTCATGATACTACTACCGGCGCAGTATATAGTCGTCGTCAAATCCGTCGTGACATCCGTCTTCACCCACAAAAACACCACCAAGGCCCAAATCTCATGGCCTAGGAAGCAGTAGCCGCCGGTTGGCCTCCCGAGCTCCGCGGCGGTGGGTTCTCCTTTGCCGTAGGAGACGGTAACATGCCCTTCTCAGCCCACAAGTCAACGAGCGGTTGCATCGGCTCGATCTCCTTGTCTCCAATAAGATTGAATAACCGTCCAACATTAATGAAGTGAATGAAGCATGTGTTTAGCTCCTGGTATGCGCTCACGTTCCAGAAAGGCTCCAGCCAATGCCCATGGTAAATATGAGCGTAGCATCGCATCATCTGACGGTATATGCTCTTGATATCTCCTTCAAATGTTTCTGGGAACCCTGAAGATTTCCCAAGCCACTCCCGCCCAGCGAGCTGAGAAAGTGGGGCGTTGGAGCTGGTCGGCCCAAGGGGAACAGTTGTAGAGCTCGGTGTCAGGGAGCCTGACGCGTAAGGAGATGTTCCAACAGTCGCGTTGGCCGTATCTGTGGGGAAGATGTTAGGGTCATTGATTTTGCCGACAATCCACTTCTGAACGAGGTTGATGTATTGAATGGCTGGGATCTTGATCGGCTTCTTGTTGTTGTCTAGCCAAGTGTATGTGTGACCACTAGCTGACATGGTCGGGCAGACATCTGGGTTGCATATCGGTTTGCCCGTCCGCTCATCAACTACTTTGATGACCTCAATCATCTGCTCAAGCAGGCGATACTGTTCAACGACTAGTCACATGATGAGCGCAATCATAGTGGAGAGAGGGAGGAGATGGGATCATACCTTGATGCGCAAGCCATTCACCTTCTTCTACAAGCTTAGGCTTTGCCGCCACCGTCATGAAGTTGCCCTTCACAATGAGGGTGGAGTACTCTTCGCGGAAGAAGAATGGCGGTCTGCGGGTGCCAGACGGCACAGACCCATCTGATGGAGCACCTTGGCTTTCAAAGGACATGGCAGAAGAAAGTGCGGGTGAGCCTGGCATCGGTGGCACGTTCTGTGCCTGTTGTGAAGTAGGAGATGCTGAGTATGGAGTCGTTGGCGAAGGACTTCCACCTTTGCCCTGCTGCTGATTGCCTTTATTGGACCGACCAGCTAATCCTTGGCGTCTACCAGGTCGATGTTAGAGAACAGCGAACTCGAGTTCAGATGCCGCAGAACGGGAGACTATGAGGGAGCAGCAAACTGGAGGTGAACATAGCAGCTTGCACATGGGGAAGTGAAATTGTGAAACAACTGCTGCTACTTGTCTGAAATAACGATGCATAACATAAGGGCCGTGACTGGGCACCCTGAGAGCATCTGGGGAAGGGCGTCGTGCCAAGCACTTACACACTGGAGAAGAAGGACGCCATGATTGGAGATTTCTCGTATGTTGTCTCTTGATAACGGATCGAAGGCGAGGATGTGCTTGTCTGATGTGGCAAAGGGCGTATGCAGACAACTGAGGGGGAATGGTGTTGGTGTTGGTGTTGGTGATACGTCTGGAGCGGGCAGCTTTTTGGGGTCCACAGAAGGGCTGCATCGAAGAAGGGGCAGCGCGCTAAGTCGCGTTGAGCAAGCGCCATTCGTTGTTGGCTGGGAACTTTGTCCACGCTATGTCAACCACCAAGCCGACAATACTTTGCCGAAGCGCACCTTCACCTCTGCCATTGCGACATCCACCTTGCATTCGTCGCGTCGTGTGATCCTTGCTGCATTGGGCTTCTCGACAGCGCCCCACCAGCTCATTACTCTATCAATCACGCGTCACAAGTTCCAGTGGACTACACGCCCATCATGTCGGACGCCGGCCTTGACCCAGTACTGTCGGATCATGAAGTGGGCGACGGGGCGAGTCCTGGAGAGAATGGCGCGCAAGGCACACCACGTGATACTGTCGAGGACGATGGTCTAGACGACGATGTGGACGATCTGTTCGGCGACGACGACGACGACGACGAGGCGCCTGCGTGGGTTGATTCGAGATAGCTTCGAGGAGCGCATGGACTAACCTCTTTCCAGATCCCCTCAGCGGAAGCTTGACGATGCTGAACTTGACTCGGGCGATGACGAAGGGCGGACAGACCGCGTCAAGGCGCCAGACGCTGCAGAGGGTGAGGTCGAGCAGCAGACATTTGCATATATGGATGCAGACCTAGCGCGACATGCCATTCCCGAACCTACCGACAACGAACTCTACTTACTCAAAGTCCCCCGCTTCTTGTCCATAGAGCCGAATGCCTTTAACCACAAGACCTTCCAAGCACCCACGACAGATCACCACTCCAAAGTGGCTGCCTCGGAGACCTTCTCTGCCTTCAACACGGCCATGACCACAATCCGATGGCGTCGTTCGCCTTCGAACAATGCTCAACTTCAGTCCAATGCACGCATACTGCGGTGGTCTGACGGCTCACTGACCCTGCAGATGGCAAACGACCCGACCATACAATTCGACATCGATTCGGCCGCTCTGGCACCGCCTCAGGTCAACCCAAAGATCCCCACGCCGACGTCTATCAAGGAGGACAGGACTGGCACCAAGACTGATTCGAAGAAGGAGAGCTACACGTACTTGGTTGCCCCATATGAGGAGTCAAATGTGATGCGCGTTACCAACAAGTTCACCACATCGCTCGTCGTAGTACCTGCCTTAAATTCGAAGGATGCCGCACTGGAAAAGCTGCAGAATGACCTCGCGACACTAGCAACTCGAGGTCGCGATGATGCTGATCAAGCCATCTCGTTCGTCGATGTACAAGAAGACCCCGAACTTCGGAGGCAACGCGAGGAGGCAACCTTTAAGGAGAAGCAGCGGCAAGCGCGCGCCCGTGAGAAGCACGAAGCCCGCCAAGCTGAACGCGTGAACCGCACCATGGGCCGCAGCGGTGGCCGCGCCAGCGGTGGGCTCAACATCAACGAGCTAGAAGACGACGACACACCTCGAGGACCCCGCAAACCAAGGCAAAAGAGCGGTCTTCGTCGTGACTGGAGCGACGATGAAGACTACGGCAGACCTGGACGGAACCGCGAAGACGATTACGACGAGGAAGATGACTTTATTGCTGCGAGTGATGAAGAGCCGGAAATTATGGAAGGTGACGATGATCTTGACGATGAGCCTGAAGCGAGCCCGAAGAGGGCGAGGGGCGGTGCTGGAAGCGATGATGAAGTAGTTGTGAGTCGGACGAAGCGGAGAAGAGTAGTCGACGACGACGAGGATGAGGAGTAGAGAGAAGAGAAACATACCAAATGTTCACTTTCTCATGATTGTCAAGCACCTTGGGAGTGTCGCTGGCAGCCAGAAGTCAGCACTTCATTTATATTATCAGCATAGCCGGCGTCGGATGATAATTATGCCATTTACAAGATTTATATGGGACACAAGCAATATAAATTTTGTGTACTATGGTGCATAACCGCTTTTAATGGCGAACAATCAGACGTTCACACCTCCATTCCGGTCTCCAGCATTCCTACAATCCTCGTGACCCGCTCTTCTTGCAATTCCTACCAGCCGATTCCGTATCACCAATTCGATATCGTCTAGGATATGTGTATGCACCTACTCTTGCCGTGTACGTCCTCGGCTGGGCCTATTCGGTTTGTTGTGGTGAAGAGATGGCATTTGGCTCTCAAGCGTGGAAATGTTGGGGCTCACCTCATTACTTTGATACTTGAAAGAACCTGTGTGGAAATAGTGGAGCTGGGCATTTTGTCGAGAATGGGAAATAGTGTTTGGTGCCGCAAAGCGGTTGATGTAAAACCAGAAGAATGGCAAGTAAAGGCACGGGTGCTTGATGGGAGAAACAAAGTGACTTTTATTTACTCCAAGACTGTAGTAATCCAACTTGCAAATATTAGAAGAATAGCATGACATGGTATATGCAGTTTCGCGTAGACAGTGGATGGCTTCAAAAGCCAACTACATCAAATCCTTGGTCCTCTCCTCACTCTCCGTCAACCACTGATCCAGCAACTTTCTATTCCTGGGCTTGAACCCGACCTTGAAATACTGGGGCTCCAAGGTCAAGCTCGTAGGAATCGCATTCGCCTCCAGACAATCCATGACCGGCTCATCCCTCGGGTCAACAGGGGGCGTAAACCTAAACGCCGAAATCAACCGCACAAACGCAGTGTACAACTCCCTGTTGGCAAGATGCGAACCGACGCACATGCGGGAACCTGCGCCGTAGCCGTAATGCGGTGTCCCTGCACCGTCGGGCACGTTCAAGTAGCGCTCCGGATCGAATCTCTCGGGGTCCTTGAAGTGCTCGGGGTCGTAGTCTGCGGCGTAGGCGTTCATGTAGAAGGTTGTTCCTGCGGGGATGATGACGCCTTGCCATTCGATGTCCTTGATGGAGACGCGGGGTAGGCAGATGGGGATGACGGTCCAATAGCGGAGGATTTCTTTGTAGAGTGCCGTGATGTAGGGGATTTTCTCCTCTTGGAGGCATGCGTGCCAGGCGTCGTTGTTGGGGTACACTTTCATGATCTCGTCGTAGGCACGTTGTTGAATCTTCTGGCCAGCAGGAGTGGCGAGGTAGGCAATACCCATGATGAGGTTACCGGGGACGGTATCGAGTCCTGCAGAAACCATGGTGAGGCAGATGGACTTGATCTCGGCTGGAGGAATGTTAGCATTGGTCCGTATGTGTCGTGTTAGAGGAACGAGAAAGAGCAAGATCTGGCATACCTCTGTTCAGCTTCGCCTCAGGGTCCTTTAGAATGTTACCAGTGATACATGGCTTGTCTGTTCCTTTCTTGATATTCTCTTCCAAGTTGTTCAGCAATCTATCCATATACACATCTCTCCTTTCTCTAAAAGACTTGGCCTCGTTGGTCTGACTTGGGAACAGCCTTAGCAGCGGAACATAGTCTTGCCAGTTGTTGCTCGTCGATCGAAAGTTGCCTACTCCACGCTCTACATCCACAATCTCCTTCAGCAAAGGCGCCTCTTTGTTTCCATCGATTCGGTATCCGTAGTTCAATGTCAAACTAGTATTAAGCGCGTATCGTTGCCAGTATGCTCGGGGATCGAGATCAATTTCGCCACCTTTGCTATCTTGTAAAAGCTCCTTGATTGAGACTGTGGATTCGAGGTCGATGAGAGGCATGTATGACTGTACGGCAGGACGGTTGAGGGCTGTCGCTGCAGCCTTTCGGCGTTTCTTGCATGACTCATCCCATGGCGAAGTACCAATGGTGAATCCCTGGGAAGATGATATGACTTTGTGAAATGTATGCAGCATGGGACGCGAGATGAGGGATGATTGGTTGGTGATCCATAGGTGCCGGACGGAGTCAAATGAGTTGACAAAAACGATTCTCTTTGCGATATATTAACATACGTTTTACGAAGACTCGAGCCGAATCGTTGCCATCCTCTCAGGAGCGCAGAAAATTTGAGCTGGACTTACCCTATTGCCCATTCTCACTTGAAAGACCGGTCCGTACTTCTTTGCCCATCCTTGAGCGACCTTGGCATGATTTGTACCGAGTTCGTACAAACTTCCAACCAAAGGCAGGCCTGGGATCTCTGGCAGGCCCTTTATATGTGGTGTATCGGTGCCGTACAGTAGTTTATACAGGAAGAAGCACACAACGGCCGCACCAGCGAGGTAAATAGGGATCGTCATAGTTTAGCCCAAGCACGCCAAGCGTACAGTGAAGTATGTTGAGACCAAAGAAAGAAAAAATGCGAAGCGTAGCCATTGGACTAGTTCAAGGAGTACTCTATGTCTTATACAAACACCAACTTCTCCAGCATTAATCGCCATGTTGGAGCACCGTGGGTCCAAGGCCGTCATGGCTGATCTTCCGTAGCCTTGACCCTTGCCTCACTGGGCCGCAACCCGGGACGGAATATCCAGCGTGATCCGTGTAGTAATGCGGGGCGTCTGCGTACGAGTCTCATCGCTCGCAGGAGTGCGTGTTGTTCTTGGGCTTTCAGCGGAACTGCACCGCATTCGATGTCGATGAAGCTAAGGGACTAGCGTAGTGCGGGGGATTAGCGCGACGGATGAGATCATACCATACAATCCTCCCATGGGTTTCTCAACACGATCAAGATCACCCGAAGAGTGACCTTGCAGCATATACAGGGCTAGGGTCTACTACGGAAGCAGCGGGCTGAGTTCCAACGAGGTGGTTGGGTAGCCGCTATAAATGAACAATGCTAGATCTTTGCCGACTGTCGAGCTTGATCGAGGCAAGTTGCCTGTCGTGATACTCTTCATGGCCGTGAAGGCAAGTAGTCATGTCCGTCTATGCTGACATCGGGGCCTGAAAGTCCCTCGTTGAATCAGGATCAATCATCTCAATCGAAATTGAGTTCTAGAGCAGGCTCGATACGGCCAACACATTCTCCAAAGCCCACCAACGCGTTCTCATCCGTACCACATACACCCCGGATCGTTATCTCGTCACCATCCTCCAAGAACGTCCTCCTCTCACCGCCTTCCAATGCAAGGGCATTCTTCCCGTTGTCACTCTGCTCAAGCAAGCTTCCGTACTCTGCTGGAGAGTTGCCACTGATTGTCCCTGATCCCAGCAAATCCCCAGGTCGGAAGGGGCACCCGGTGATGGTATGGTGTGCCAACATCTGTGGGAATGACCACAGGAGGTTCTTCGCGTTGACTTTCGTGATGGTCGTGTTATTTCCCGTAGATGCTGAGTGGGATTAGTCGGGTTTACCCGAATCTGAATAGACTCAAACTCACTCTTAAGATCCACTTGGAGGTTGATATCGTACACGCTCTTCTCGTCCCGTTCTCTCAAATAGGGCAAGACCTCTGAGTCATTCTCCAACCCCTTGGTTTTGAAGGGTGCCAGTGCATCTGCTAATATCACCCATGTGCTTATGGTTGTCCCGAAATTCTTTGCATTGAACGGTCCCAGTGGCACATATTCCCAAGCCTGTATATCCCTCGCTGACCAATCGTTCATCAAGACGACACCAAACAGATTCTCCTCCGCCTTGTCGATATGTATCGGTGTTCCTTGCTGATTTGATCCACAAACAAAAGCACCCAGTTCCAGTTCGATGTCTAGCTTTTTGCATGACGTCAATGTTGGCACTTTCTTCTCGGCTGTAGGATTGAGTAGTATCTGGCCATTGGGTCGCCGTATAGGTGTTCCCGAAGGGACTACTGATGATGCTCGGCCATGATATCCGACCGGCAAGTGTTTGTAGTTGGGTTGCAAAGCATTTGTAGGACCTCTGAAAATGACACCGCAGTTGTGCGCATGGTTCAGACCGGCGAAGAAATCAGTGTAGTCGCCAATTTTGAAGGGCAAATGGGCTCGAATGTCCTTGAGCGGTACTAAGGCTTGCTCCTGGAGGTCTTTGTTGTCCTTCAGAATACTGGGATGGGGTGTATCATCCGAAAAAACAGTCTGGATGTACTTTCGCACTACGGAGTGCATGGGCCGACCCAGTGCGGCGAATGCATTTAGCGAGGGTTGCGAGAAGACGTTTTGATGCGGCTGTATCGTTGACAAGCCAGAGAAGCCGTTGTTCGCTGCAAAGGCCTCCAGATCCAGCGCATAGTCTCCGATGGCGACGGCAACTCGAGGTGATGGTCGCGATGAAGTTGATATGACACCAAACGGGATGTTGGCCAACGAAAAGTGTGAGCCTTTTGGTATAGGGAGCCAGGACCGAAGGGAAGTCATTGTACAAGCCGTGGTCGAACTTGGGAGGTTTATAGATAGAACTCTGATTGCCTCTGCAAATGCTGGGGATATGGCAGCGCAGAGACGTGTAGGTATCCCCTTGGCCACCTGCAGACTATCGACGATATGGCGGGAACAACAGCCCGAGGTTGGAGTGTGTTGTTCGAAGGCAAGTCGCTGTGTTGGACAGGGTCGTCAAGACCAGCATAGCATACATACACGGGGAACAGGCTCTCTTGTCTGGGAACATCCGGTCCGAATGTGGTGTTCAATGTTGGTTGCTCCATACTCCTACCTTAGAGGCCTACCATCTTTCGTGCTCGGCAGTAACCAACCTCTGTCGGCCGCCGGCGGCTGATGACGGCTTGGGGATGTACGCGGATCGGAAGCATTCCGCGTCTATCCTGTCCAGAGCCCCCGTCTGGGCCCCCCACTGTTGCACTGTGGGGTCATACTCCTTACTCTCGGACGGACATGTTCCCACTCCCCAGACCGTGGCGCGCGTGGTGGCATGTCATATGACCATGGGTTTAGCGTTGGGCGACTTGGGCTTTACTCCGAGTGGTTAGAATATCCCTGTAGGTTCAAGTCCACGTCACAGCGGCAAATTTTTATAGTTATATAAACTAGCCTATAGTTAAGTATAAATTAGGGTAATTTAAGTAAGTAAACGTAGTTTTTATTACTATCTTTTTTAAATATATTCTAAACCTATTCTTAATAATATATAGGCGTTCCTAAATACTATACTAGAGTTTAGTATAGTAGTACTAGATAATATATCTAAACTAGATAGTAATATTAGAGATAAATTTAGGTAACTATATAAAGTACTAGAGAAGGATAGTAGTAGTAGTATTAAGGAAGTAAGTAAAAGTAAATAGAATAAGTTTAGAATAGGTTAGTAATATATTATAGGGGTATAATATATACCTTACTTATAGTAATAGTTAAGGACTACTACTTATACTAGTAATTATTAAGTATATAGCTATTCTCCTAGTATACCCTTAATTATATAGCTAAGAGTATAGGTATATAATACTAGTTTAGTAATATAAAGATAGCTCTTACCTAATAAGAGAAGAGGTGCTTATACAGGCTATATAGGTAACACGTTAAGAACACGTTCTTAAATTATTCTAATTCTAGTAGGTATAATACTCCTGCTAGTCTGTCTATCTTAACAGGCCTACAACTTCACTATTCTTTAATAGCTAGCTAGTAAGCTAGTATAAATACTAATACTCTAGGGTAAAAGCGTGTAAGTATCTTAAGAATATATTATAAATATATTCTTATTATATTGTTAATAATATATTATATAATTAGATCTAAACCTTAAAAAGTATAGTACCTAAGAAAATTCTATAAAGAGAACTATAAATAAGAAGCTATTATTATAGCCTTATTAAGCGCTTCTCTTTAAGGATTTATAAGGACTACTAGGTATCTTATTATCCTATAATAAGGACTATAGTAAATTAGGTAGGGAGCAAAACTTAAATATATTTAAAACATATTAATAACAAGTTAGTAAATTATAGAATAGGCTTAACTATATATTAGCTATTAGAACTATAGCCTAATATCTACTACTAGGAAAAAATATTATTTTAGTTAGGTACTACTAGAGGTAGACTCTATATATCTACAAGGTCTTCTAACTAGGGAGATATTAAATCTTTCTAGTAGTCCTACTTTATATTCTATAGTTAAGCTATAGTTAAGCTAGATAAAGAAGTATAGTAGGTATATTGCAACCTATTCCTAATATATTCCTAATATATTCTAGGCGTTAATTATTTATAAGGGCAAGGATCTCTATTTAAAATCCTATATAAAGTTACCTTCTAAGTAATTATACTAATAGATATAGTAGTAATACCTTTTTTTACTATTATTTCTTTTAGTATATATATATATATACCTCCTCCTCCCTTAATACTATCTAATAGTAATATTAAGGAAGTAGTAAAGGTGTTATAGCCTATACTTACTCTATAGCTTATATAATATAAGTTATTTATAACCTATTATAAATATATTCCTAACTTGTTATAGCCTAGTTCCTAAACTTAACCTAGCTCTAAACCTATCTCTAACTTAAAGGTTTCTATTCTATTAAAGAAATATATATTAGCTTTATAAATAAAGATAAAATCTTATGTATTATAAAGCGTGAAAAGCTTCTATAGTTCCTATTTAAGAGTAGCCTTAGAGGAGTACACTATAAGTAGAGGATAAAGTATTAGGATCCTAAAACTATACGTGGTATAAGAGAATAGGTTTAGAACATGTTACTAATATATTACTACAGGCGTATATATAGCAAATCTTTATATTAAGCTTAGGTAACTTAATTATTTACCTTTTTAAAGAGTAGGTATTAATTCTATTAGATTAAGATATATTCTAGATAGATATATTATATAAGAGGTTATATAGGGCATAGGTAGAGATTCTAATAGTAATCTTCTACCTATAGGAAAAGAAGCGTACGTATTAAGAATAGGTTTATAACACGTTTCTAATATATTATAGTTATTACACTTAGCTAAATTATTATAGATAAGGATATAACTAAGATATATTAAGTTACTATTACTAACTTCTTTTAGAAGTATAAAGCACTTATAAAAAGATAAGTGTTATAGAGGTATATTTACTTATAGGGATTCTATAGGACTACTATTAATATGTGTAATAAGTAGATAATAGACAAGTTTTATAGCGCACCACAATATATTTATAACATGTTTCTAACTTGTTTCTAGGACTTAGGCGCTATCTCTAGTTAATTAATCCCTATAAGCGTAACTAGCGCTAGTAACTTTAATCTTATATAAGATTTTATTAAGTATATCTATAAAGAAGTATTTATAAAGTATATAAAAGAGAGCTAGATAATACTACCTCTTTACGTCTAAGTAAATTACTATAGGCATTAATAGTAGAGGAATACTTTTAGCTTGCTAACCTCCTCTTATATAAGTAAATATATTCTAAACCTATTCTAAATATATTCCTAACTTATTCTTATATAATTAGAATATAAACCCTCTAAAGATACCTAAAACTAGGTAATCTATAAGAAAAACCTAGTAATTACTACTAGGATTATGCAATACTATAGTAAAATATTAAAAGAGGTATAGGAAAAACTAGAATCTTATTTAAATATAGCTAAGCAAGCAGGCTAGAAAGGATATAAAACTAGTAAGTATATAAGTATTCTTAAGGCTACTTAGAAGTAAGTTTATAACCTATTCTTAACCTATTAGAATTATATAAGTAATATTATATAGTACACACTAGATAGATCTATAGGATATAAAAGAGTTTAAAGCCTAGAGCAAGTTTAGAATATGCTATAACTATAAAACTCCTAATAGGCTTAAGCAAAGGTACCTTAAAAAGCTTTAGAGGGGAGAAAGTAAGTCTTACGCTAGTGTTATACATATTTGCTAATTAAAATATATTTAGAATATATTTAGAACGCGTCCTATAATAATAATAATACTCTAGATAATAATAAAGTAAGTCTTACTATATCTAACTTAACTAGATATATCTTAGTCCTAATAAGAAATAAAAGAGCATGCTTAAAAGCCTAAAGCTAGAGGGCAAGTAGTAGAGTAGTATTAGAAAGAAGTTTACTAGCCCCTTTTCTATCTTCTCTACTACTAGGCTCTTCTCCTTTACTAATAGTAACCTAAAGGTATGCTTTGCAAAATATATTTATAATATATTCCTAACTTATTATTAGTCTATAACTATAAACTTTGTAATAAAAGGCTCTTCTTAGTAATTAGGCTCTAAAGGAGAGAAAAGAAAAGCTAGAGGTAGATAAGGAAGAACTTATATAGAAAAAGGCACTATTTAAATTATAAAAGGTATAGTTTAAACTTAAGAAAAAGATAGCTACTTTTTATATAAGGTAGGGTTAGTCTATAAATATAGTAACTAGTTCCTAACTAGTTTTTAATATATTCTAGTCTATTATATAAGTATATATAAGTAGATAAATATATATTCTTTCTTCTTCTCTTTCTTCTTCTTTCTTCTTATACTCTATAAGAACTTTTTATATTTAAGAGTTTAATACTATTTTACTATCTATCTTTTCTAATATTATTAGATATAACTAGTTAATATAGTCTATAAAGATCTTTTAAAGTTAGTATATAATAAAACGCGTTAGGAACACGTTATAAACTTGTTCTAATACTAAGTAGGATTTATACTAGCAATATATTAAGCTTAAGTTACTTCTATCTAATACTAGGGCATTCTCTCCTATAATATCCTACCTAAATAATAGGTGTATAGTATTTCCTAGCAAGCTTTTCTACTAGGCTATTTAGGCTAGATTAGGGGTATAGGAACTTTATAGAGTATATATATATATAAGTTAGAACACATTTATAATATATTAATAACTATTTTAGCATTGCTTCTCTAATAGAGGTAATCTTATCTACTACCTTAAGAGGTATTATCCTAAGGTTTAAATAGCCCTAGTAAACTATAGTAGAACTATAATACAAGGTATTATAGAAGTAAGGATCTTCTATAGAAGCTTAATAGTAAATACTTAAGAATATATTCTAAATATATTAATAATATATTCTCTACTAGTAGAGTAGACTATACTAAGTGCCTCCTCTAAGGTTTAAGAACCCTTTAAGATAGCTAGTCTATAATAAGAAGTAGTAGCTAGAGTAGAGGCTAAAGAGGAAGTAGAGAGTAAAGAAGAGGAGTAAATAGTTACTCCCCTTTATACTATAAATAATATTTAGTAAAAGTAGTAAAAAGGAGATATAAGTCTAGTCTCTTAAAACACGTTTAGAATATATTAATAATATATTATAGCTAGACACCTATAAATACTAGATTCTTCTTTAATCTAAGGGACTACTAGAGCTTTATAATACCTATAAAAGTTAAAAGAAAAAGTTATATACTATTAAAGGACCCTATAAAAGTAAATAGTACTTTACTTTTAGTAGATAGAAAAAAAAAGAGAAGAGTAGAGAGTTTATTTTAGTAATTACTACTACCCCTTTAGGTTATATACTATTATATATTATTTATTAGAACTTATTCTTAATATATTCTTAATATATTCCTACTTATTACTATTATTATCTCCCTCCCCCTCTCTAGTATCTTCTCTATTCTCCCTATTCTCCCTAGGCTCTATAAAAGTATACTATAAGTAGAACTAGGTAGTATTCTAGTAGGAATTAGCAAGGTCTATACTAGTATTAAAGTAATAGTCTTAAAATATATTAGGAATAGGTTAATAATATATTATAAATAACTTACTATAGCTAGGATAATTATAAGTATAGATAGTATAAGGAACCTAATAACCTTAAATCCTTAGTAGGGTAGATATAGTAATAAAGTTAAGCTATAACAAGTTAGTAATATATTTTTAATAGGTTCTTATAGGCTATACCTTATTACTATTATAGCTACTATAAGTCTTCTTCTAAATTATATTTAGGAGGGTATTAGTATTTATAAGGGGGCTTATAGTAGCTACTAGCTAGGCTTAAAGAACTTCTATAAAATATATTAGTAATAAGTTTTAAATATATTCTAAATAACTTATAGTAAAGAGTATTCTAGTAATTATATATAACCTTTATATAGAAGTCTATATATATTAGTATAATAAGTTAAGAATAGGTTAATAATATATTTACTCTTTACCTTATAGACCTCTATTATAAAGGGCTAGCTAGTCTTCTTAACCCTACTAACCTTATAGTAGGCTATATTAAGCCTATAATCTTTTTTAGTATAGGTATATAGAGTGCCCCTAGTACCTAGAATAGCCTAAGAATATTAGAACCTATTTAGAATATATTTAGAACCTATTTTTACTCTATATAAGGTACCCTTATTATTAATCTTAGTATAGTAGTAGCACTCTCTACTCTTTATCTTAACTACTCTATTAGGGCTAACTATAGGCTATACCCTAATATTATCTAGGATATAGCTAAGGGTAAGGTACTATTAATAGTGCTTCTATAACCTATTAAGAACACGTTCTAAATATATTTTAATCTACTTATATAGGATAAGAGGGATATATTAGTAATAGGTATAGTAGTAGTAGCTTATAGTATTACTAGTATAGAATATATTTAGAATAGGTTTAGAATGTGTTGTAAAATCTTATAGTATAATATTTAGTTAACCTTGCTTAGCTAGCTAGTAGAGCTTAGCACAGCCTAACCCTATACTAAATATAAGTTCACGCAGCGCTAATTCCATGGTCATATAAACTGCGCCCTCGTGGCGCGCTTTTGGTCACTTGGGACGCGACAGACAACGGAACGTGAAGCCGCACTTTACCGCTCCATGGAAGAGCCATGGCCGAAAGCACTTGCCTGTCGGTGGCTATGATCCGGGAGATCTGGGGTAACTACCGGTACAGTCGGAAACCCCCCCACTTCGAGACTTCGTACATCAACAGCAAACAACGCGTCTCTAAGGGGTAGGATATAACTTGAAGCCGGTGCTGTGTGAGCAGGGAACTTGTTTGAGCACATACCTACATTCTTGACCCAGGCACCATCCACGATGCCTTCGACCAACTTTGCCTTCAAGGAAAAGTATCGGTATCTGAATGGCTTCCACTCTTATCACGAGTACGTCCCCAGTCCAGCCTTTGTAAGGGAGCATGGATAACCTGACGTCGTACAGGAGTGAAGCAATAGAAGGCGCGCTGCCCATTGGCACGAATTCTCCTCAAAAGCCACCATATGGATTGTACGCTGAGAAGCTTTCTGGAACTGCCTTCACGGCGCCACGACATGAGAATCAGCAGACATGGCTCTACCGTGTACTTCCCTCATGCGGACACAGCAACTTTGAATCCCGCGAATCGAAGACCTTCAACACAAACCCCGAGAACAAACCTTGGGAGAAGATACACTTCATACCAAACCAGCTGCGATGGGACCCCTTTGATCTTGACGAGAGCGTGGATTGGGTACACTCTCTCCACTTGGTAGCTGGAGCCGGAGATCCTACTATGAAGACTGGTGTCGGCTATTTCATATATGCGGCAGGGAAGGACATGGAAGCCAATGAGGCTTTCTACTCGGCTGATGGCGACTTCCTGATTGTAGCTCAACATGGTGTCTTGGATATCCAAACCGAGCTGGGACGCCTCATCGTCCGGCCGAACGAAATCTGCGTCATCCCGCGGGGCATTCGCTACCGCGTCACACTTCCAGAGGGACCCGTGCGAGGCTACATCCTAGAGCTCTATCAAGGCCACTTTCAACTCCCTGAGCTTGGTCCAATAGGCTCCAATGGCCTCGCCAATGCACGCGACTTTCAGGTTCCCGTCGCCGATTTCGACGAAGACACCGAGACGGAATGGCAGGTGCTGGCCAAGTTCGCTGGTCACCTATACGCAGCAAAGCAAGGTCATACACCATTTGACGTAGTCGCATGGCATGGGCTTTACTACCCGTACAAATACGACCTCGGTCGCTTCAACACAATGGGCAGCGTCTCGTTCGACCACCCCGATCCATCGATATACACCGTCCTCACAGCACCGAGCGACCGACCAGGCACCGCAGTAGCTGACTTTGTCATTTTCCCACCAAGATGGCTGGTCGCCGAGGATACGTTCCGACCACCATGGTATCACCGCAATACCATGTCGGAGTTTATGGGGCTCATCGGAGGCCAGTATGATGCAAAGACCGGTGGCGGCTTTCGACCAGCCGGTGCTTCACTTCACAATGTCATGTCTGGCCATGGCCCCGATGCTGCAACACACGAGAAGGCGTCGAATGTGGATCTGAGACCCAATAAAGTGGGTGAGGGCAGCATGGCCTTCATGTTCGAGAGCTGTCTGATGATTGGCGTCACAGATTGGGGTCTGACCAGGTGTCAGAAGATCCAGGAAGGCTATAATGCAGAAAGTTGGGAGCCATTAAAGGCACACTTTACGACATCAGGACGCAAGAAGATTGAGAATGGGGCGTCGCCGTTGGCGTCTGGCAAGGAAGGGGACAAGGGGCAGGTACCGCACTATACGTAAGGCTAGGTACTCTCTGAGCCTTTGCGGTCATTGTACGATTGACGCAGCAATCCATGAATGCTCTTAGGTTGTGCTAGTGCTTGATGACCTCGCTGTTTGACACCATATGTGCGTTTATCGAGAATAGTGATGTTCTACATGGTGGTGGTGGTGGTAGAGTTGCTTGCCCCTCCTGCTCATCAGGGTCTCTCCCCGCTGCGTGTTGCCCCGCCAGAGGGACTTAGAACAAGGGACTGTCAACGTCGAGTCATTCGCGTGCAGAATGCCAGCGCGGCAGAAAGCGTTGGTAGCATTGTTTTCAAAGCATACAGCGACCAGTGAACTGCCGAATGAGTGGGGAGCCTTGGAATGCGGTCAGTAGCGGCGGCATTTTGATGGACGCAGACGCGGGGCTAAAAAGTCTAAGCAGCCCTCCCTCAACCATCTTTTCTCTTCTCTCTTCCAAACCCATCTCCTCTCCTCTCTTCTCCTCCTCTCCATCCTCCCCCATTCTTCATTTCACCTCTTTCCCCACACAACCTCCATCAAAATGTCTGCTCCCGCCCACAAGTTCAAGGTCGCTGACATCAGTCTCGCGGCCTTTGGTCGCCGTGAGATTGAGCTCGCCGAGAACGAGATGCCTGGTCTCATGGAGACGCGCAGGAAGTACGCTGAGGACCAGCCGTTGAAGGGTGCCCGCATCGCCGGTTGCCTGCACATGAGTATGTTGTTCTGTTTTGTTCATGATGAGAGTCCCTGCTTACCCTACCACAGCCATCCAGACCGCTGTCCTCATCGAGACCCTCAAGTCGCTCGGGGCTGAGCTTACCTGGACCTCGTGCAACATCTTCTCCACACAAGACCACGCCGCCGCCGCCATTGCCGCTGCTGGTGTGCCCGTCTTCGCCTGGAAGGGCGAGACCGAGGAGGAGTACGAGTGGTGTCTCGAGCAGCAGCTCACTGCCTTCAAGGATGGCAAGCACCTCAACTTGATCCTCGACGACGGTGGTGACCTGACCGCACTCGTCCACAAGAAGTACCCCGAGATGCTCAAGGACTGCTACGGTGTCTCTGAGGAGACCACCACTGGTGTCCACCACCTCTACCGCATGCTCAAGGGCAAGGGTCTGCTTGTCCCTGCCATCAACGTCAACGACTCCGTCACAAAGTCCAAGTTCGACAACTTGTACGGCTGCCGTGAGTCGCTCGTCGACGGTATCAAGCGTGCCACCGATGTCATGATTGCTGGCAAGGTTGCTGTCGTCGCCGGTTTCGGTGATGTCGGCAAGGGTTGCGCCCAGGCACTCCACAGCATGGGTGCTCGTGTCATTGTCACTGAGATCGATCCCATCAATGCCCTGCAGGCTGCCGTCTCCGGCTTCCAGGTCACCACCATGGAGAAGGCCGCTTCCCAGGGCCAGATCTTCGTCACAACCACTGGATGCCGTGACATCCTTACTGGCGTTCACTTCGAGGCTATGCCTAACGATGCCATTGTCTGCAACATTGGTCACTTCGATATCGAAATCGATGTTGCATGGCTCAAGGCCAACGCCAAGTCTGTCACCAACATCAAGCCTCAGGTCGACCGTTACCTCATGAAGAACGGCCGTCACATCATCCTTCTTGCTGAGGGCCGTCTTGTCAACTTGGGATGCGCCACTGGCCATTCTTCCTTCGTCATGTCCTGCTCTTTCACCAACCAGGTCCTTGCTCAGATCATGCTGTACAAGGCCTCCGATGAGGCGTTTGGCAACAAGTACGTCGAGTTTGGCAAGACCGGCAAACTCGATGTCGGTGTCTACGTCCTCCCGAAGATCCTCGACGAACAGGTCGCCCTTCTGCACTTGGCACACGTCAACGTCGAGCTTTCCAAGCTCTCCGATGTTCAGGCCGAGTACCTTGGTCTTCCTGTCGAGGGTCCTTTCAAGAGCGACATCTACCGTTACTAGATTTTCTTTTTTTCTGTCATGAGTTTTGGGAAGTTTCAACACGACGTCATGAACTGGGATGATACCACTTCGAAAAGTTATTTGTCTTCAACGGCATAGCATTGAGTCTGGGACTCTATGGGGTTCTTTGTTCAAAGGCGTTGTTTTGCACCATCATCTACTCTGGCTCTTCAACCATGGTCACGATTAGAGATGATACCCCTATGTAAGAATTTGAGCGATAGCAGGAAGATCATTGTGCGTCTATTCACGCAGCGTGGCATATAGACTTGGGTCGTTATCTCGATAGCAGGTCAAGAAACCAACATTTACTGCGGGCCTCCATACCCGCTGATGCCACATGAACGTCCAGTCCACTTCCACATCCATTTTCCTCTGTGCAAGCTCGTGAAACGAGGAAATGCCTCATTGTACAAGCTGACGCCGTACGCCTACAACCCACAGCCGCATTGACATGATTGACGTGTGCAGATAAGCCGGCAACGATCCACATGCAACGTTCTCGTTATCGTCGAGTGTGCACACGAGCTGCAAATTCCTTTGTAACCCTCAAAGTCGACAGACGACAGACGGTTCCTTGCATACCCACTGCATGATGAACTCTCCACAACGGACCAAGCATCCTGTATGCACGCCTCTCAACATACGTATTCGCTGCGGCCATGCCGTGCTTTATCGACGTTGACACGCCCCGCCCCGCCAATACATTATATGCGTATGGGGTTTCTGCCTCGGATCGGTAGAGGCAGAGGCACAAGTGCCCTTCCCTCGGATTTCTCCCTTGCTTGGGCTATGAAAGCTGCAGCCAGGGGCAAATTCTGCAAATACTACAGCGGGCACCACAAGGCGTTTTTGATCGACGACGACTACGACGACTCCTCCTCCCTGAAGCGTCGCAGCAAGGCAGTTTGATGCCGTGGGAAATTCCGTCGGAAACACCATGGCAACGACCATTGTACCACAAACAACCGTTTTCATATTCTGTGCAGCGGACCAAAGACTGAGCATGAGATTCAAGACTGTGGATGGGCGTTACTGTACTGCGGTTTTGTCATCGTCAGAGGATTGGACGTTCAAGGAAAGGTCTTTCTGGCCCCGATTTTGGCTCTGGCTTTCCCTGCTCTTCATCGACAAGAAAGATCGAATACAAAAAAGACAAGCCATGCGCTCCATGAGGTCAAAGGAATAATATGCAGTGTCCGAAAGCCTATTCGACCATGTAGAGTAAACTGACCATGTCCCCACTGCTCATCTCCCAACCTCTTCTGCCCTGGCCTGCACCCAGCTCACTCTCCACAAACCCAACAAATACCAGAAGCCACATAAGAAAACTACGCCCTTGATCTCACTCCCCGTCACACAAACACACAAACAAAGCAAGCCACGCACAGCTCGCCGTTAAACCCACCATCACACTCTGCACCCCTCCTCCTTCTTCACCCTTCCCGCAACGCACAACATGCTGCTACTGCTGCCTCTCACACAAAAAAACTAGCGTGTCCAAGGAATTCCCCGAAGCACCAGTCCGATGTGTCCTTTCCCCACGTGACAGATCGTTCAGCCGCAGAGAGAAAAAGAGGGAAAAAAAAGAAAACACGGGACTGTGCTTCTTGCACCTAGGCTGTGGAACCTGATCCTTGGCCCGAGGACCTGGGCTGGGATGGGGAGATCTCGCATGCTTGGTAGAGTACATACAGTATGTTCCAGAAGACCCGGACGATCATCATCGAAAGGTATTATCGGGAC